GTGGGTCGGTGCCGTTCGCCGGATAGACTTCGGAAGACCGTTGACTCCGAGCTCCAACGCGAAGCTCTGCTCCCAGCACTTTACGTCAGACACCTACACACGGGATCTGCGGCTGCTGACTGTTGCGGGTTTCACCACGAAACAGGCGTATTTGAAGAACGTTGCGGTGCCGTCGCTGTTCGCGTACCGTCCGCCGGCTGCTCCAGCACGATCGGCCGGACGCAGCAGGTCGCGGCTGATCTAACTAGCGTGCACATAAAGGCACCTTGGCTTTAACAACTTGGACCACTTGTGGATAGATCTGTCCATCTATCTCCCATTATTTCGTTTTCTCGGTCCGCGCGCAAGAAGCAAATACAGTCACGCTGCGTCGGCACCGACCGCGTCATATTTATAGCAGTCGGATTCGCTATTCGGCCGGCAAATTTATAAATACACACTAAAACTTACTACATTTGATGCATATCAACAAAGTAAAGCGGTAAAAAAAGAAAATGTGCATCTAACCTTCTGTTTTGAAACTCCACGTGCGACTGAGCCGACCTTGTCGGCGCGTCGGCTCAGAAGCGCAGGACTGGAACTAGGTCATGCCGACGACGCGCCACTAGTATCAGTGTTGCCAAGCTGCTTCAACCGGTAGTTTCGGTTTCGCCGTGCCACCGGACCGATTCTTGCATTCGCGATATCTACAAAACTATACACACTACCGAAAAACAAATTATATCTCGTGATTCAGGGTCGCCGGCTTCGACTAAACAGATCATAACCCAAAAATTGTAAAAATGGAGTGGAGTTGCCCTTTAATAAGCTTTTGGAATTCAGCGACTTCCTGGCGAATCTAGCGACTGTTTAGTGACTTCCTGTCTGTCTATGCTGGAAAAAGCGGTGGAGAAACTGCATCGTGACTTCGCCGGTGGGAGGGGCCTAATCTCCATCGCCAACCAACTACATCGGAAGAGAACTGCACCGTGACGTGTCCGGTGACGTCGCCGAACAGTGGCGATTGAGTTGAAACTACATCGTTCTTTTTTCCCCCACAGGGAATTTCGGAGAATCGCCGAGTAGGCTAGCGCACACCAGCTCGGAGCACGTGGAGCGAAAGCTCGCGCTGCAGAACCCCGGGATCGTGGGTTCAATCCCCGCTCCTGCCCGTTTCGATCTGCTGGATGAGCATCGTACCGGCGTGCGGTCGTGTACTGCGTGATGCACGTTAAAGACCCCGAGCTGGCAGTCGTACTGCACTGGCTAAATTGCTTATCTACAGTGGGTAACAATGTCGCCATGTTCAGGCAGACTAACCTCCTGCTGTATAAACAACTAATGACAAATTTTACTTGTTGACTATGTTTAAGTGCGTTAGTGCAGCTTCTCTCGTGCTGCACGAGAAAGAAAAAATGTTCCTTCGGGGGTAAAATTTTCGGTGAATTAGTAAGCAAAAAAGAAGAAAAGAGAATATTTCCCTCAGGTTGGGTTCCTAGTAGAAGAGGGGGAAGAAGAAAATCAGTTAGTCTAAAGGGCCACCCACACTAGCGAGAAAACGCGCCCGGCGCGCCGATAAATCGGTTAAGCGGCAAGATAAAGGGCGCGTCTCTGCACGCGCTCGTGGCGCCGACTGTGCTTCGGCGACATTTTGTTACTTGCCGCGATCGGCGTGCCACGCGCGTTTTCTCGCTAGTGTGGGTGGCCCTTTACGGTGTGTATGGTCTTTTCTTTATGTGTATGTTTATTCTAGTTCAGCTGGCCTGACCTGAAGTAGTTGCTTTAAAATAAAGCATATCTCTCTCTCTATCCACCTGAAGTATGAACGAACTAGCTCAATTTAAGCCTGTTGCCGTTGCTTGCTTGGCATTTCGGTCAGCCAAATCGCTTATATGGTGTGCACACAAATGAAAACACTCTCATGTTGAATCGTGTAAGAGTATTTAGAATATTTATCGATGACGCCGCTGAACTTGCATCGCTCGAAGGACTTCCTTTTTGTGAGCGCCTTCTCTGCTTGAGTTTGTTGGAAACACAGCCACTTCGATCCGAGGCAATCGATGATAGCGTTGGTGACATCAACAAGTACGCGACTCACAGAGCACTGGAGAACACCAATGTTTTCGTCGCTCCCGACGGTTCCCTGGAAGCCACCAGCGGCGTAAAAGCGTAGAGCTGCGAGGACTTGTTGTTCGACCGTCAGCACACGGGGCCCTTCAAGACAACGCTGAAGCTTTCCGTGAAGCTGGTCACACAGCCAGCGAGTCACCCCTTTGGTCAGCCGGTATTCGCCCACAAATCTCGCATCGCTCGTCTCGAAAGCATCCCGGTGATCTCTAAAAACTCAATCCGCTGGCGAACCCAACAGTAGAAATGCATATGTTAGGGTCGCCATTTTTTTACGATGCAGATTGATCTTTGGCTTCGCATCGACCACTCAGTTAACTGCATCGTCAAAGTGCATCATGACGACATTTTGACGTCACCGCCAACTAGGGGTGTCGCGAACCGGCCGCGGTTCGAGTTCGACCAGGTTCGACTTTTTCGAACTTTTAGTTGAAAGTTCGTCGAACCTTGTATTGAGGTTCGACTCGTGTGCGCATGCGCGACAGGCTGGCCAGTTGGCTTCGGATTGGATGGTAATGGCTAAGAGATGAATTAAGTGCAGCGCTGATCGGCTATTTCAGTCAATACAGTACTAAAATTTAAGTTATTAACTTCTTTAGTGAATAGAATTAGTTTCTTTTAATTGCAGCTGTTCACACAATAAAATAACCCTTTGCATAAAAAAAGAAATTCTCCAGACCTAGACATGCTTGTATCAAGGTCTGGCCACACTGTCCACAAAGTCGAACCGGTCGAATCTGGTGAAAAGTTTGAAGGTTCGTCGAACCGGTTCGACCCAGTCGAACCACGAAAGTTCGACCAAAAAATCTGGTTCGACAAAAGTTCGCGACACCCCTACCGCCAACTGCATCATCTTACGAGCATAGCCCGAACTGCATAGGGAAAAACTACATTTCAACGTCATGTCACGTGGCCCGAGAGAAGAGCCAATCAGTGCCCGATGCAGTTGTCTACATCATTCAGTTTGCATTCCAGCATAGATAGACTGGTATCAATTTAGCGACGCGCGCAAAAAAAAGATGGCAACACTACATGCAAGGAATCCTACAATGAACCATCTATCTCGCACGTGACACGTCACGCGCGCCAATCGCCAGAGATCTGGTCACGTTGGGCACAATATTGTTTAAACTTTTATTGCGACGTGCCCCCTTCTAGTACTTATAACCTCCTTAAAGCAGCTGGTCCCTCCGCCGTCTTCGCTCGTTTGGTGGTTTCCCGGCTAGCCGGGAATCATTTTAGCGGCAGCTCGGACGCCTAGACCTATCCTTTTCCGGAATGTTTGCTGCTACGATTCTTCCTATACGCCTCCCCCGGCATTCTGAAACAGTAAGTGCCTTGCAAACAATTGTCGGCGGCCGCGGTCTCGCGGACAGGCACCATTTTTCCTCTGTTAGTGAGCTCAACTGTCACTATCGGCTCAATGACAGTTGGCGCCGCCGTGTAACTCCGGCCGCTCGCAATTGAGTCAACTATTGTTGATTCAATGGCAGCTGAGAGCGCCCGTGTAACTAGGGTAAAACACAGCCATGACCCAGCTAAAACCGAAACCAACCAAACTGAAGCCACCTTATGGCACTAAAGCCCCTTGATACAGGTTGATACAAGACAAACGAAAACATATCGAGGGGCTTTATATGGCACCGCGTGTCAGCGCCCTCTGTTCACCGGTCGGGTAACTACAGAGATGCAAAGGTCAATACTTCCTCACCACACCTCTCTTTGCAACGCCACGCATGGTGCTGACACACGGACGAACACCAGCGGGTTTTCGTGAAAGCTAACGTTCGAATGCTAAAGCTTTAAAATCACTACCGCACCCATATATGCCGTGAAATGGCCCCTGCATTCTTCTGTAAAAGCTCCCGGGGGGCTGGATAGAACCCCTCCTGCCCTCCCTGCTATTTATGCTTGTGGCTGCATCATAAGCACTCTTTGGATCCATTGAAGTCTGCCCTAGTCACGATTCCACTACACCGGGATGAAACGAGTGCAACGGCAAGATTGGAACCCCTGTATTCCCAAAACTGGAGACTGCCCACTTGGCCTGTCGGAGGAGGCTGCAAGAATTCAGGTGTAAACACCGAGAAGCATTAAGGATGCCTGGGCTCTTTTCCCATTCATGGATGGACAATGAGAAAAAAGAAAATGGAAAGAGCTCCTCAGTGCTGGCGAAAGAACAGATAACGGCACCTGATCACTGTTCTGAACCTTGCCGCCTTGCATACCTCCGAGAGGGCCACAGTACCACCAAAGTAATCTCTGACACTGTGACTAACGTAGAAGTTTGGGCTAGTCGGTATTTCATGATTAAAAATTAAAACAGCGCAAGCACACGGACAAGAACAATAAGGTAGACGAACAAGGTGCTGTTTTAATTTTTAATCTGAACAAGAAGGTAGACGAACAGTGCCTTGCTCATCCACCTTCCTGTTCTTGTGTGTCCTTTTACTGTTCTAATGTTTAATCAGACACTGTGGCTGTTTTTTTGAAACACGGGACATGCTTTTGCTCCCAGATGCACACAATAAATGTTTGGAGCACCGTTTAATGCTCAACTTCTGCCGTGCCATTAGCCGAGCAAGATGGGAAGTGCATTGGCAATCTCGAGGTTATATAGGCAGCTATTTACAAGCGCAGGACTAAACTCGCTCGTAGCGCGGCAGTTATCACACCTGCTTACGATTTAAGGGACTCCAGTTTGATATGCAAGACGCCAGCTGCGTGCCTCGCGTGTTGCCGAGGAGCATCGAGACAAAGCGTCATACAAACTGTTGTTGAGACCAGACCTATGATGCTCTGTGCTAAACTTGCATCAAATTACGGCTTTGAATGGTTGCGAGCTAATAGCGTAAAATGAAGCTTGATCCAAGGAACTTTGCAACTACACAATCGGTCAGACATTGGGGCTCGTTTTATTTAAAATTTCTCAAATTGTTGCTTCTGGCCTACTTCACTCGCAGTCGGATTCGTCCCCGACTCTCGCTCCTAAAACATCTTCCTGTTGTTCTTCGCCCGACGAGACCAAATTCTTCTCCACGTATGGCAGCATTTTCTGCCTGAACATCTGGGCCTGGAAGAGCAAAGATGCAAACCTGCTACTCTAATCATCATGAATGAACAAGTACAAAGTCGCCAAAATGAACATATAACGACGTCACTACTTGTTCGAAGCTTTTGATGAGCGAGATTCTATCTGTCGCTTGGCTTCCTCGTACAGCAGAAATATACTTCATACAGCCAAGATAAAGACAAACTTCATTCAGGTGGAAAGCAAGAAAGCATATAACTTGAGGAAAAAATGTCAATGCAAGATCTGGAACAGGTGAAAAAGCCGAGCTCAAAACCCACCAAACTTCCTGCAAAAGCAAAAGATGTAAGAAAACCTGGTTTGCATCACGTTTGGGTTTACACCAAGTCAAGCCATGTCTGTACAAGATGGCATGCTGGCAGCACATAATTGTCAGTTGGTACCAGTCAGCACAGCATTTTGTACGACGATTTGGCGCATTTTTAAACAATAATATAGTGCTGCGCAAATATTCGAATTAGTAATTGTTTCAAATAATGCACTCTTCTACATTCGCTTCAAGATGAACTCCAATATTCGTACTTATCAAAGTGTTGACCGCGGCAAGTTAGCGCTGTTGAATGCGCTTCCCACCGAAAGACTCGAGCACGTTGCTTGAAAAATGTAATGGATCACACTTACAAATCACTTTCGCTGAAAAGTACCGGATTACTCTACTACATTACAAATTACTTTGACGTTACTTTTTCCATACACTTATCGAGATAACAGAGAAATAATTTTGATGTTTTCAAAAATGTTCTACAACACTCCTTTCCACTTCTCATATGCCCACATTATGGTGGTCCTTGTAAGAACAAAATATTGCATTTAACGGAAAAAAACGTAGGTGCACTCCGTTCACCTCAAAGCTGACAAGGAGCTGCAACCACACCCAACAACCCGCTAGCTTACAGCAACTCGAAATGATCCCTGGAATTCTGCAGCCAAAGCGGTGCACATGCTCACTAGCAGCACCTACCACCGCCATAAGATCAAGAAGACAACGCCTACTTGGTGTTTTTGTCTTGATCTTCGTTTTTCGCATATTTGTATACCGTATGTCTTGCACGTTTTTCTAGAGGTTTTAGCGACTGGTCATAAAAAAAGTTGTTTTGCTTTTTGGTGATTCTCCTCTTCACAATGTTTTCTTTTTGCTGAACTTGCTGTCTTTATGCCACTGAACTGCCCACTCATATTGCTGCAGTTTCTATACTATGTTCATATTTTTAAAAAGTAACGAGTAATTAGAGTAATCGGTTACTAATATTTGTAATGAAATTAAATTACAAATCACTGCCGCAAAAAAAGTAATATGGCAATTACAAAATTACTTAAGGAATAGATTACAGGTAATCCATAACTTGTAAGGGATTGCTTCCCAAGTCTGCTCAGCAAGTGGATGAGCATCTTACCAGCGTGCATCCCTACTGCATGGTGCACATTAAAGACCCCAGGCTAGCGGCTGTGCTGCAGTGGCTAAATTGCTCATCTACAGCTGAGAGACAAGATGCCCGTTGAGGCAGACGAAGTTTAGGCTGCATAAACACACACGATATTTTTCTGCTCACCAGGCACCTATGCACTGTGGGGAAGCAATTACTGCGAAGCTTGCGGGCTTTGAGGTATTGCATCCCCACAGTGCACAGGTGCTCAAACAAGGTTGGTTTTGAGGCCTCTTGTGACGGTGGAGGACCAGATGCACTGCTGCGGAGCGGGTCCTCCGCCGTCACAAGAGGCTCAAAAACAGGCCTTGTCTCTCACCGTCCTACTCGGTTGCAAGTGGGTGAACGGCGCTTTAGAGCGTATGTTAGGCAGCCATGTCTTGACAGCCCGTGCCCCTAACACAATTTTTGATAACGCATTTTGAAAGGCAATTTATTTCTGTAAAAAGATCTCTCCATGTATTTCCATAGTGAAATTAAAGGACCTATATCTGCGCTTGGTACGATTGAAACAATCCAAATTGGACTAGGAATGAGAAAACAATTGTCCAGAAGGTAAAAATAAGAAGACCACAAGGGGAGGGGACAAGCGAGGCGCTTAAATCGCGTGTGCATAAGACTTGTCCCTCGTCTGGTTTCTCCCTGGGCTCACCTGGCTGAAGAGTACAGCATCGGGAAGGTGGATGTCTCCCGTGACCAGGGCGTTGACCTGCGACAGCCGCTCCCTGGGCTCGGGGCTGAAGATGTAGAACACCTTCTCGGCTGGGTCCACAGCACGCACCAAGCCTACAAGGAAGGACAGGCTAATCTGTGGCCACAAAGAATTACTTCCCACAATTGGGATCGGGAATGTGACACTGAAGCCGGTTCCCAGTTATTTCAATTCTGAGTATCCCTTCGCCGTTCAATATTAAATCAGACTTTTAACAAATTACAGATGGTGTCCTGCAAGGTTTCATTTTAGAAGTTTTGATATTTCCTGTTTACCGTATTTACTCGCATAATGAACGGACTCGCATAATGAATGCACCCTCCACAGTGGGTACCAATATTTGGACTTTCCTTTTTTAACTCGCGTAATGAACACACCTCCAATTTTTGGCTCCGCGAGTCTCGAAGTGCATCCTATTTAGCTAGCCACCAAGCCAATTTTATTTTGCTGACAAGTGGTCAGGCCAAGTCAAGCCAAGCAAAGCCGCTCTCGTAATGGCTGCAAGTGTGTAGATGCAATAGTTGCAGAAGTGATCAACCATAAAACCGAGTGGCACGCACACTTGACGAAGCTTGGGTTGAGGAATTGCCCAGCCCCGGTGATTCTTCGCCTATTGGATGCGTTGATGTCAACAAACATCGTCTGTGGTCCGCTTTCGGACAGTGAAATCGTGAAAGTGGTTAGGCCTAGGAACGGTCGCGTTGCTCTCCGTGCAGAGTGAGCTTCGTAGGCCGCTTTTCCTTCGGTAAAAGGCACACCGAAAGCGGCCATAAAAGGTATGCAATTTATAAAGCATGGTTACTGTGGTGCGCCCCCGACCAGCTGTGAGTGCGCCTCCATCAGTTGAGAGGTGCCACAGTTTGTTGCCGTGTTATATTGGCACCTAATATGACATTTGCACAAAGTGTCTAAATGCAAAAATTTTGACCCACGTAAAATTGTACCTTCAAATATGTGCCAATTTTTCTGGAAAAAAAAAGTGTTCATTATGCGAGTAAATAAGGTATTTACTTTGGCTTCAGCTGTCCCCCACAACGAACTAAGTTTTTAAAGGCTATATTTAGAAATCAATAGAAAAACCACCTAAAAAAGCAGACAGAAAAAAAAAAGTCGGAAAACACCTAAGCACTTCTTATGAGTTGTGAATGCAAAAGCATGAATATCCAATGGAATGCCGCAGAGTGATCTGCGGAGTTCTGTGGCGCGAGTAATGTTTTCGAGTTGTAGCAGAAGCACCGGCGACAATGTGGATGCTAGAGGCAGATCCATGTTCGTCGGCGTCGAGATGAGCAAAAGCACTGCCGACGATGTGGATGATGAAGGCGACGGTGAGACGAGCAGAAGCCTCCGAGCGCGCGCCAACGTGTCCATTTTAACCTGCGCGGGGCCCGTAGTGGCATGGGTTGCGGCAGTTAGTTTTCTCGGTGCGCTGGCGGCACGGACACGCAGCGCCATCTGGCGGCGGTCGTTGAAACTGATGGGCGCAGCGGCCAATGAAAGCCTCGTTGCCGCGCGCCAGCCAATGGAAGCTTTGAGACCAGGGAAACTAGGTGCCATTTTCGCGCTTCAAACTGATGACGTCGGCTCGCTCCATGAGACCCCCAGTTAATGCTTTCGCATTAAAAAAAAGCGCAACAGTATAGCATACAACTGACTCTCAGTAATTCAAAATCATTTTTGTTAGTTCAAAGCAGGGGTATGGTCCTGGAAATCATACATATGAGTCTATGGGGGAAAATATGCGACCATTCACTTAAGCCCCGTGTCTGGTTAATTCGAAGAATTTTTTTGGGCGCTCCAGAAGTCCGATTACTCCAGGAAGAGGAAATAACCTAGCAATTATGCCATCTCAAAACACGACTAAGTACTTATTCTTAGGGGTGTGCGAATACCAAATAGTAGTTATCGAATCGAATATTGAATCGAATCAAGAAAAAAAAGCCGAATATTGAATTGAATATTGAATAGTGATTTTATTTGTAGGAATTTTTCAAAGTGTGCTGCGAATGAGATTATTATATGTGCAGAGTATGCGCCTGGTACAGAATATGCATCTCATACAGAACAAAACCTCAAATGCAAAAAAATTTCGGTTTAAAAAAAAAAAAAAAAAGCAGTTGCTGTTGGACTTTGGGCACTAAAGATCCAATTTTATGGCACAAACATAATCTATCCACCCTAAACGTCACAAGAAAACCAAAATTACAGCCATGCCTAACACCGCAAATTTTTAAAAAAATATTTGCATATCTTAGAAAAGGGGCATTTTGTGATATTTGGTTTCCATTTTAAGGAAGAAAATGGCACCCAAGATTTCATTTCACATAAATAAACAGATAAGTGTTAAATCTGAGTAAACAGGCTTAAACAATATAATCTGAAGAAAAAAAAAATGTGGTTAGGTGGCACAAGACATTGTCCAACTGCCGCTATGCATCCATTTTTCCGTCTACCTATCCTGCTTGAAACGTTAGGATTTTTGTAAAATGGTAGGACCAAGAGGTGTTTCTCGCATGGCCTGTTTAACATCACGGCGCTTACATCAGGAGATAAAATGGCTCTTTTGTCAGCTCCGCGCCGACCGTGCATCTTTGGCCAAATATTCAAGTGACCGAATACTAGGAATTCGATTCGCAAATTGAATTATTTGGGAACTTTCTATTCTATTAGAATTCATATATTCGAGTATTCGCACACCCCTACTTATTCCTCCAAAAAAAACAGCTGCATTTCCAAACGATAGATTCTTGATCCAGACACACTTTACATTTCGTGCTGATATATGTTGCACCTCTAGAACCTAACAAAATTGGTCTGTAGAATAAGTTAATGGCAACTGACACAGACACTGGGAGGGGAGTAAGCTCAAAAATGACCATTTCAAACATTTTCGTGAGCCACGGTAAGGCGTTCAAGTTCTTTTTTTTTACTAACTTCTAGGCCACATTTTTTAACAATTCTTTTTGTACATGAAACTAGAAGATATGCAAATTAAAACACATTAAAAAACAAAAGTCAAAATTTTTAGTCGGGTCGTCTACTTTTCGACTTGCATCTCCGCTTAAAGAAAAAGACTGGGCTTGGCCGTCATTCACCACTGGCGCATGTGACATGTGCATTGGCAAAGCATCTCTCTACAAATTTTCAGACCCAAAAGCTCTCAAATGAGCAAAATGTTTTCTTCATTATTGTTTCAATCGAATGAGAATGCGAAAAACTATACCCGGAAGGATCTCCCTGATTTTGCAATTCACAACTTTCGGTACAATTTCGCAAAAAGCTAACTTGCGGCTTTCTTTTTCTGACCAAGACTGGATTCCACTCTCTCTACCCGACAGAAAATGTGTCGGAATCTCGGAACTTACTACACAGCACCTCTTTTCCAAAGATCCGCGTTTCTCACGTGAGCACGGTAGTTTTTCACAAGTGGAGCGGTGTTTACGCACGATACGCTCGAATTCAAAATCGGGCTGACGCAAACATCCGGAAAAGTGGCCGTACGTCCCAAGTCGAGCTGCTAAAGGTGGGTTCCATAGCGCACCTCCGATTCATGCGACGCTCAAGAAGGGAAAAAGTCGAGCGCCTCGCCGATGGCCTCCGTCGCGGTATTTTCCCGAGACTTCTTTGGCAACTGGAGAAATCCCGACAGCCGCCCACAGCCTTCGGGTACGGTGCCTGCAACGTGTCTCCAACCGGTCAGTTTGCGGCGCCCTAACAAGCGCTCCCTCCATTTCCACCCTACAGCAGCGGCATCCCAGTAGCGGCGATGGATGTGGCAGGCGCCTCTTCTGCTTCACGTTGCTCTCTGGCATCGCAGTCCACGCAAGTTTCGGAAGCCACAAATCGGGAACTACACCGGCATTTGCTCACGATTTTTGCCAGCATTTGTACGGCCGACCACCAGGATGGCGACATCCGACGGCGCGACACTTGTCCTTTGTTGCCACCTGGGAACCACTTTCGACGCGCGGGAGGGACAAGACGCTGAACGCATTGGTCCGAGTCCAGCCACCGTAGACTAAGGGGTCACTTGACTCAATCTGAGCAACTGCTCAAAAGTAGCCACGAGGTTGCTTAAAGGGCCACTAGAAAAAAATGATTTTTTTTAAACAGTCTGGTTGGGACACACATGTAAAAAAAATGCATTTTACGCAAAAAAAAAAAAGAAAAAATTTTTAGAGCAATATTGACGGTGCGAGACTTGTTTTAAATTCCGTCCTTGGACGTAACGAAATGGTCATCCATTCTCTCCACCTCGCCGTGATGGCCAAGTGGATCCACCTCTCCTCCCCATGCCCAAAATGCCGAAAAATAAAACAAGTGGAAAGGAGGTGACTACCGCTAAATCGTGTCTCGCACCATTAATATTGCTTTAAAAAAAATGTTTCGCATAAAATTCATTTTTTAACACGCGTGTCCCAACCAGACTGGTGAAAGAAAAAGCATTCTTTTTTTTTTCAGCGGCCCTTTAAAAAAACATTGACACCCCCAAATTTTTTTTTTTATTTTTGCTAGGCGATTTATTACGGTGTCAGAACACTACCCAATCAATATTTTGCAACAGTGTCATGCATATTATTAATAAAGCCAAAAAATGCAACTGCTCAAAACCAAGACCGGACTGGAGAGGAAGAGGAAATATAGAGGAGGAGGAATATACCAGAAATAACGTAGCTGTGCAAATTTTTTTTTTTATGTACAGTAAAACCTTGTTATAACAAAGTTGAGGGAGTGGTCGTAATTATTTCGTTATAACCATTAGTTTGTTATAGCCAATGTCCATTTCTTCACTATTAGCAAGCAAGGGGAATTACGATTGCTTTGTTATATCCATTAGTTTGTTATATCCCATTTTGTTATAACGAGGTTTTACTGTATTTGCAGCTTTTTAGAAGACAAAAAATGGGTATCATATTTGTTGTCCATTTCTGCAGGGTGAAACAAGGAGACGCCAGGCTCTTTAAATCGACCGGAAAATTCGGTTTCTTAACCTATCGCGCTGCGACTTTGTGCAGTGTTGCCCACAGATGGTGCATTTTTTCTTTTTTTTTTTTTTTAATTTGCAGAGAGCGAACTTACCTGAGGAAACAGTGAAGAAAGAAAAAGGCTTAGCTCCTATGGAAATGCAGCGACGCCTCTGGACTTCAAACAACACGGCGCCGTTTCGCAAGGGAGACAAGAGATGGTGCAACGAACGGTGCCAACAAACGAGCACACGGCGCCGAAAGTCAGCGTCTTTAGCAGACAATCTTTTCGGCTCAAAAGCGGCGCGCGCTCCGCAGGCGGCGGCAGTCGCAGAAACAAAAACAGGTGCAGTAACACTGGAGTTCCTTGTCTGCAAATTACGCCGGCTCTCGGCGTCGTCTGCTCGTTCGTTGACGGCAGTTGGCGTCGCGACCGCTTGCGCCATCTCTTGTTTCCCGGGCGAAATGGCGCCGTGTTGTTTGCAGACCAGTGGCTTCGCTGCGTTTCCATAGGAGCTAAGCCTTTATCTTTCTTTACTTTTTTCTCAGGTAAGTTCGCTCTTTTCAAATTTCACAAAAAAAATGCACCATCTGTGGGCAACGCTGCACAAAGTCGTAGCGCGATAGGTTAAGAAACCGAATTTTCCGGTCGATTTAAAGAGCCTGCCGTCTCCTTGTTTCACCCTGTAGTATCGAGTGTGTGCCCGCGATGACCCTCAACTTTGATCATCTTTGGTGCTTGTGTCTAAACCATAGAAAATGGCATGTGACCACGGAGAAGAGAGTGAGTGCGACTCAAGCCAGCCAGTTCTCCATCGGCGGTTTTCGGGTGGAAAGAAAACAAATTTCGAGCCGCAAATTCGGTTCTGGGTAGTTGGGCTCTCGTACGTCATGAACAAATAAAAACCTTGGCGAGCATAAATAACCTTTCAGTGTCCCTTTAACTAAGACTCTGAGAAGTTCTCAGAAAGCAGGAAGCAACACCAAGCCCCGCAGATCATCCAAAGCCTCTCACCGTATCCCAGACACTCGTAGGGTCCAGTTCCCTCAACGAATTTCGGGTAGTCGCTCTTGTTCGTTTCCAGGAGCTGAAAAAAATAAAAAAAGAAACGAGAAAGCCAATCTCATCAACTTGGAAGCGTGTCACGAGCGTGTAGTAAGAAGGCATCGAGGTATGTCGGTTCCACTGAGACAAAGCTATAATTATATATAGGGTGTCACAAAAAAAAATTTGCAGCGTTTTCTTTACCGCATAAATAAACTAGGCATCGCCGAACACTCATTCTCCGCCCAAAGGTAGCACTAGAGGTTACAATCAGATGCCAAAGTTTCAGCCCGATCCCATACCTTATTCAAAAGCTATAAGTGATTTTCTGAAATTCTCAATGGGGAAATGGAGCCCAATTTTGCCCAGTCCCGGTTTCTGGTGCCATACAGCCCCATATATTCGAAAACTCCGTCGGCCGCCATTTTCCCATTGAACTTTCAGAAAATCACTCATAACTTTTGAATAAGGTATCGCATCGGGCTGAAACTTTGACATCTGGTTGTGACCTCTAGCGCTACCTTTGAGTGGAGAATGAGCGTTCGGCGATGCCTAGTTTATTTGTGCGTTAAAGAAAATCCTGTAAATCGTTTTTTGTGACATCCTGTAGAACTTTGGCGAGACCGACATTAGAATATGGAAGCATCATCTGGGAACCGCGAACATCCATGTTGCATTTCAGAACTTGAAAAGGGTCGAAAACTAGCGGTGCTCGTTCCGTTTAACATGTACTGTCGAGACCAGTTATAACGAATTCTGTTATAATGTAATAGCGGCTACAGCGAAGTGATCACGATTTCCCGTTCGCTTTTGAACTTCGTTATAACCGAAGTCGGTTATAACGAAATACCGGATATAGCGAAGTGATTTATGATTCCTGTTGACTTTGTTATAACCGGTCTTGACTGTATACTTCTACTTATATTTCATTTACTCAATATTGCTTTGACACGGGCCTGGAAACCTTACGGTAAGGAAGGAGTTGTTTAAAATGTCTTTATCCAATTGTTAATGAGGAGCTGGAAATAAATACGTAACTATATTGCCCCGTGCATGACCGAGTTTGCAATGCACGCGGCTGCCACGCGAAGGAACGCGGTTGGTTCGAACCCCGGTCAGTCTGGATCTTTCTTTTGTGATTTTCTCCTGGAATGCTCTGCCTCTTTCTCAGCTGCAATTGAGCATTCTGGTTCCAAACAGTCCTGAAAGCTTTATACACCGGCACGCGGGCTTGACGTCACGGAGCTGCGGCGGCGCTGCGATCGCGCCGGAGCCGAGGGGTGTGGGCAAAAGCTCGCACGTTTCGCATGGGCGTCATAGCATTTCAGCATGTCGCGAAGCTGTGTTGCCGTTAATTGCACCGAAATGTACAAGAAAAGCAGCAGAGTGAGTTTCCACAAGTTCTCGGCAGACTCTGAAAGGCATAGAAGGTGGATAATATCCGTGGATCGAAAAGAATGGTCGCCTCGCGCGAACGACCGTTTGTGCGGCAAACACTTTCTTGGAGGCAAGTGCGGCTTCCATTTCAATCTCCGTCCCGAGGCTTGCTTATGTGCAGGGAAACCGTTGTCTGATCGAGATCACCCGGATTTTGTTCCCATGGTGTTCGCGCACAACGCACCGGCCAAGCGCTCGTCGGAGGCTCGTTACGCACGTGCTACCGAGCAGAAGGGGATCGGCGACAGAACGGCAGTGTTGTAGGCGTTACCGAAAAAAGTAGCGAAATACGTCACCCGTTACTTGCAAATAAAAGGTACACCTTACTGAGTTACGTTCTCTAAAAATAAAAGGAACGCGTTACCGCTACCGATAAAAAGTAAGGCACGTTACTTCTGCGTTACTTTTTTTTAAATTATGATTTAACACATTTTACGGTTTTGACGATACAGGTCGTATATCAAGCAGTAGCTGAACATAAATACTTTATCTCTTTTTACAGTTTCACCTAAATACTTACGAGAAAAAACGCAAAGAAAACATGGCTTGACGCCTAAAACACGGAAACAATTGAAGTGTAATTTCTTTAAGACTTGGGAAGTAGTAACGACTAACGTAACTACGTTACTTGAAATAGTAACATAAGTTCGTTACCCGTTACTGTGTCAAAAACGTAACGAGTAGGTTACTACGTTACTGAAAAAAGTAACGCGTTCCTGGTAACGCTTTTACTTGTAACCTGTTACCGCCAAGATTGCGAAACGGACAAACCTTTACTGGTTGTAATGCCTTGTGGTCACGAGGGTATGAAAAATATCATACCTTGAATTGAAGACGCTCTGTGTATTTAATCAATTAATGAATACACACACTTCCGCAGACCCACAGTCTGCTGATCCCGCCGGCAGTGCGGAAACCGACTCGATGTAATCGTAGGCCTCAAGAGACTTGTAGGCCTGCACCGTGTCGGCCGTGAACTGACTTGGCGAAAACTAAATAAACGACGACCTGAGCCGTCGACTTCCGTGGCAGCAACTTTACGTCGGAAGTACAGCACCTAGGCCTTGTTTACGGCGTACGGATCATCGTAGGCAACGCCGTCCACGCACAATTTGTTTCGATACCGCTACCGTTCAGGCTCGGGCAACGAGCTCAAATAGTCGGGCATAGCATACGACATACGTTATGAAAAAATGCGACGCCCAAATAAAGATACAAGCGTCCCTACAACGTCAACAACGAGCGCACGCCATAGAGCGCAATGGCGAAAACACGGAGAGCCGGGATGCTTTTGCCCACATAGCTACCGCGCATGCGCGGCCTTCCGGCCGTGTTGGTAAACAGAGCCGCTCCGCGTGTCGGTCTATACGAATAAAATCGGCGGTAACGCGCTGCTTCGGCAGAATTGCCCTCCCGTCACCAGGGCCAAACGCTGGCACTTTTTTCTTTAACCCCTGTTCTAAGTTTTGGGGAATTTCTGAACCTCAACTGCTTAATTGTTGTCTTCAAAGTTACATTTGATGTCTTAAAAATCAAGTTTCTAGCCACAAACAAAATGGAAGCAAAATTGAAAAAAATTCAGTGCCGCCATCTGTTGGCAGAGCGAGTCTGGTTCGTCCAAAACGGTTCAGAACGTAAACCGGCGAAAGCAGACGTGTTATACTCGTCCTGAACGGTTCGGGGACGACTCCACGTTGACGAGCTAGGTTTGTCCAAAACGGTTAAGGAATCAAAAAGAAAGACTCACACCCCCCAGAAATGTTTTATTATTTTTTGCCAGGCGATTTAATATGGTGTCAGACGACTACCCAATCAATATTTTGCTACAGAGTTACGTATATTTTTAATACCGTATTTACTCGCACAATGAACGCACTCGCGTAATGAACGCACCCCCCAAGTCGGCTTTTAAAATTTAGACTTTTTTTTCACTCGCGTAATAAACGCACCCCCAACTCGGAGTCAAAATTTTGACCCCCTCCCCCCACGCGCGCGAAATGAACGCACTTTTTTATCCTGGTGCACTGAGGTCGCCAATGCATGGGCAGCATGGGCGAACAAAGCGCCTTGCAAAAGGCGTTAAAAAAATTCGCAAAGATCCAACGGAAGCAAGAAAAGAAAACATAAAAAGGAGCTTTTTTTATTTATTTTTTTTTTTTCACAGCGCAGTTTGGACTTTGGACTTTGGGTTCGCGCGCCGCTTTGCACAAGGAAATAAGAAAGAGAAGCGGAGAAGCGCTCTAAGCGAACCAAACAGCTTGGGAAAGGCAGCAAAAAAAAAACCCCAAAAAACACGGAACTAAGAGAAAACAAAAACAAAAAAGCTTTTTACCTTCTCTTTTTTTTTTTTTTTGCACAGCGCAGTTTGGTTACCGGGGGTCGCGCGCCGCGCGCAAGGAGGTAAGAAAGAGGAGCGGAGAAGCCCTCTAAGCAAACAAAACAGCCTATGAAAAGGCCGCAAAAAGAAAAAAAAAAAAAAACAACCCACGGAACTGAGAAAAAACAAAAGAAAAAGAGGAACTTTTTTTCTTCTTTTTTTTTTTTTTTTGCACAGCGCAGTTTGGTTACGGGGGGGGGGGGGGTCGTGCGTCGCGCGCGCAAGGAGATAAGAAAGATAAGCGGAGTGCCCTCGCTTAAGCAAACAAAACAGCTTGTGAAAGGCGACAAAAAGAAAACCCAAGGAACTAAGAAAAAAAGAAAACAAAGAGGGTTTTTTTTTTTTGCACAGCTTACTTTGGGTACGGGGTCGGGCGCCGCGCGCAAAGACATAAGAAGGTACTTCGATTTTTCAGGATAAAAGGTCCGTTCATTATGCGAGTAAATAGGGACGCAAAAATTTTACTTCGCGTAATGAACGCCCCCCCCCCCCCCCACTTTGCACCAATTTTTCGGAAAAAAAGGTGCGTTCATTCTGCGAGTATATATGGTAAAGCCAAAAAACCCAACTGCTCGAAACCGAAACATGAGCATGGAGTTAATGGCCACAGCTTATGGACTGGGAGGAGGGAGAAATGTAGAGGAAGAGAGAGTCGCCGTAAGTTACATGGCTACCCTCCCCAACTTCATTTTTACTTTACTTTGTTTTTTTGGTTGCGTGAAGCAGGCAACAATGTTGCGGGCACCATTTGTTTTTTGTGCACTTCAAGATCGGCTGTTTTGTACTTATAAGAGTGGAAAATGAGTGGTGAAGGCCCGGTTAATCTGCTTCGTCCAGTCGTCCAGCCTGCGACTCCCCCGATACGACATTATGTTGAGAATTGCACAGTGCATGTACTTCTAAAACTCCTTGCAACTTTTTTTTTTTTTTTAGAGCGCAGCTCCTAGGCATTTGTTTCCGGCTTGAATGGTGTCGCCGTCGGCGTTATTGCGCGGTGCATAATGGGGCGTGTGACGTCACTGATGACGTCATCAGTGATGACAATCACGATGTTGAGGACTTCATCAGTGACGTTACTGATAGTCATCAGTGACGATGACGATGCCGATGATGCCATCAGTGACGATGACGATGACTTCATCACTGACGTCACTTACGACGTCGTCAATGACGATGACGTCATCAACACTGGTGACGTCACTGATGACGGCATCGTCACGTGACCTCACAGGGGTCACGTGACCCCCGTGAGGCGACGGTGACGCCGCTCGGAGGGGGGAGTAGCAGACAGGATGAGGACGTGAGGAGGAGGGAGAAAGGATATACCTTCCCCTCGGTATTCTCGTCCTCCTCCTCCTCAAGTGCTGCGCTCGAATTCGGCATTACAGGGAGTTGTAAACAGCTTTCATTTTTTTATTCAATCAACATATTTTCAGTTTTTTAGAAGCCACAAGAAATGGGTTTCATAATTGCTTTTTATTTTTAATATTAAGTGTGTGCCTTAAAATGACCTAAAACTTTGATTATGTTTGGTATCTGTATCTGAACGGCATGTGACCACGGAGAAGAAAGTGAGAGTAACTCAAACCGGCCAGTTCTCGGTCAGCAATTTTCGAAGGGAAAAGAAACAAATTTTGAGGCGCAAATTGTGTTTTGGGCAGCTGGGCTCTCATATGTCAAGTAAAAATAAAAACCTTGGTAAGCATAAATACCCTGTCAGTGTCCCCTTAACGAAATGCGGCAGGAAAAATTTCATACAAATTATTTACGATATCGAAATTAAATTTTCAGTTTATGGTGCTTAATCTTCGTTTGCATTAAAACTTGGGTTTGGGCTAGTTGGTCTATTACTGATTAAAAGATGGCCCCCGCAACAACGCAAGGGGCCACCTCGCTGACCATTGTAGGCGATGTGGATGTAAACCTGACCTGACTGGCACGAAGTTTTTGAGAAAGGCAAAGGAAAAAAAGGAAAGAGAGATTATAGAAGCATTCTACATAAAAAAGAAAGAAAACAATTGCGTCAGCGCTCCGTCTTTGTATTTGCTCCAGAGTGAGATGGTGTTTCTGGAAGGTTGGCTCTGATTGTCGCGATTGAATCCGATGTGGTTTGGGCAATGTGTATATATAGGTGACAATGGTGTTAATAAAAACCAGTTGAGAGTGAAGCGCCTGTCCTGTCGTCCGTGTTTCTTTATTGTCCTCATTTGTTCGCGCTTTTTAACCTTTTAATCTTAATTTTCTCTTTCTAAATCTGGAACTAGAATTGATACAGTTGAACCTCGTTATATCGAACAGTGCAAGGACCGTGAAATAGTCCGATATAATCAAAATTCGATATACAAAATAACACAAAAAAAGCGTCAAAGTACAGCGCGATCTAATCACTAACAGGCTAGCGGCAAAAATGACTATGTGAAGCGTTAAGGGGGACACTACCCAGAAAAAACAATTTCTGCAAAAAAAGTTGATTTTGAAAAATGTCATCTTTACATCCACCAACATCTACAGACTATTCCCAGAAAGTTTCATTAGTTTACACCGCATAGTTAATTTTTTATAAATTATTTTCGGTCCACCAATGCTAAAGAAAAGGTAGAGGTTGGAGCACTTCGAACGAATTTTTCTCCATTCCATTTTTTGGCATAAGTTTCCCTTTAGGAAAACTATCATTTGTTATTACATAACTTGGATTAATTTTTATAAGTTTTTCTGGGGTGAATTTTTAAGGGAAACATAGCTATGAGATTGAATTTTTTTAAGGGGAACATAGCTATGAGATTGAATTTTTTTTTATTTTTACCATTTCTCATGTTCAAGAACTAGCATTTTGGACAAAGGATAGAAATCTAAAAAACAGCATTCGTGTTCAATGGCGTTTTTGTCATGAAAGATGGTATAATATAGAAATATAGCTCTATAGCTATCTGCTCTGAACTGTTCTAAAGCAATATAACACATGAAAACGACAAATTTATGAGTAATTTCATTTTCCTATGCAGACGCACTTGCTTTCATCTTTGAACATTTACAACTTTTTTTTAACTTCACACAGGCTAAAAAAATTTTGCACAAATGTTCTCAACGTGAACAGATATAAGCCCTGTAAATGTCATTTAAATCAGACAAGTGGTTCAAAATTCACTTTTTTAGGTAGTGTCCCCCCTTAAGGTGAACTATTTATTCCGGCGAAAAAAACTGCCGCAGCATAGATTGCTTCATGGAGTTGATTGCATGATTACGGCCCGCTCCACTGTCTCCAAGTGGTCCACAAGCGCCAGACCACTACCGTCGATCGCACTGCAGTAGTGGCGTAAAAGTGAGATCGTCTTCCCGACAATGTTGTAACAGGCTTTGAAACGTTGTAGCCGCCCGCTACTTGCAGCGATGTTTCGTGCTTGGAGGATGAACGCGACAGTCCTTTGCTTTGTGTTGAAGCATCGGCCCCGACGCCGGAATGTTCCAAGCCCTTCCATCCATAAGCCACATGTAAAGTGATCTTTCCACTTTTTCGAAAGCTGGTGTCCGAACACGGCGTGCGCTGGAGGGCTTGCTTCGTTCAGCCTTCTATCTGATGCTGCCTTTCGTCTTCAGCAGCGTGCTCAAAGTGCTTCGCGGTATGTTGTGCACTTCGGCAACACTGGACTTCTTTTCTCCTTTTTCAACGCGGCGGACGATATCAAGCTTTGTCGCAAACGTCAGCGACGTACGTTTCTTTACGTTTGTTGCCATCTGTACGCCACATGCGGTTGACGCAAGGTCGGAGGAACGAACCCGGAGGAAGGAAACTTTGGGAGCCACGCACAGGGCAAGAAAAGAGCGAGGCTGGCGATACGATTGAGCTGACTGAGCCCGTATGCCGCCAAATCCGGATGGCGTTCCCAGCACCATAGGCATAAAGCTTTATGCGGGCATGCGCTTGAATAAGTCACAAACGCCTGCTGCGCCACCGCTATCCTACGATGTGTTGCGGGAAAGCCCGCCGTATCCTCCGATGTGCTGCGGGAAAGCCTGCCGCCTGTCTCCGGAGCGCACGCTTTCCGGAGCTGCGGAGTTCGATATATTCATTTTTTAACCGACAGAGTTTAATATAAAAAATTTAAAATGCATGTAATTCTTATGACAGTTCGACAATGATTCGATATAAGCAATAATTCTATATATCCGTGTTCGATATAAGGAGGTTTGACTGTATAACTTGTTTTCTAAGTTCTTGATGCAATGTACAAGCAGAAAAAACCATATCTTAAGGTAACAGCGCAAGGCCAATCACTCAAAACGACACACAGAAGGACAAACACACACGCTGATTTACAACTCTTTGTATTCTGCCAGTTCTTTGTTCTTTTCATTGGGTTGACTCTCGAAATCTCCACGACCAGCACAATAGCACGAATACAGGAAACACTTCTAAATATGCTTTTCACTCCTCACCGCAATTATCAGGATAAAAATTCAAGCTCTTTTTGAGACAGAGATAAGGATGGATTACTAACACACTTGTCTTCGAGAAGCCCTATTTTCTGAGCTTCCATTATCTCTCTGGTCAGCTAATTCCGACTTCATGCTATTACAGAACAATTTTCAAAATTCGCAACACATCCAGAATTTCTGCAGTGTATGGCCAGGTATCCTGAAACAATTTTTGTGGGTGTTATAGAAGTTTTTTTTTAAGGGGAAAGGCTGGGTCTTTGAATGCTAAAAAGTTGGGGACAAGTCATTTTTGAGAAAATGGCTTTTCTGATATTTAAACATACCCACCCGGCTCTGTACAAAATATTATTGCTCTAATTTCCAAAACATAAAAAAAAAGAAAGATTAAGTCTTAATTTTCTATGAACATTCAGTAGGAATACACATACTTTAATTAAGTGCTTTCTTCTCTCTTCACACTTCTCTCACAAGTACCGATGCCTCGCAGGCGCTTTCTGAAGTTTGTCTCGGACAATATTAAAACGTCTGGTGCTATTTGAATCGGGAAAAATGGAGCTGGGCAGTGATGCAATTTTTATAGTCCTCCAACTTAAGAGTTGTATTCAATTAATTATTTTCTTAAATAATGAGAAAGCAAGTATTTTACACTATAATTACAGTCATTTTTTAGTAACATAACACTCACTTAAAATCTAAAATAGCATTATACCGCACAAATTACACCTTTGTGGACACAGTTGCATTAAGATTTTTTATAATTTATGAATAATTTTTTTTAATGGACCCGTAACAAATGATTTATTCAAATTCGACCGATTTCCCATAACTTGGGTTTTAGTAAAGATACTATTCAATATCTGATTGCATATTTTGAGTAGGTGCGAGATGTGCTATATCAGTGTATAATATAAGTATTCTTTCATAAATAAGAAAATTACACAAAATCTCCATACCCTTAGGGGTGAAATAAATTAAATGAAATGAAACATCTTTTACACAAGACCCGGAACTTGAGAACACAGGTCTCCTCCACTTACCTTAGCTACCTTAAAGCGAGAAATGCTTTTCGTGTGGATTTGATCAATTACTGGCACTGGCGAATGTCTTCCCATAGCGATTTCCATGCAGACCAACACACAAAAGCTTCGTAGAGGATTATTCCAGCACAGATAAACGAAAAACATGGCGGTGCGTTGCCGTCACTTAGCTTACAATTGCGGGGGACAAGATGGAACCTGAGCAACTTGTGCGGATCGAACGACGTCAAGATGCCAAAGCTTTACTTCGGAGCGAGACGGAGAAACATGGCCACGGGAACTTCCACGTGTGGCCAATACATTAGAAGAGGTCGGAACGGGATTGCAATTGGCGTTCCAATTTCTGCGCCAGATTGCAAAAAATTGGGCGCATCGTTTTCTTTGATTCTATTTCTAGTAGGAAAATGGGACGTGTGCCAATTCATTCCCGAGCTTTTAGGATGCTCGGAGGCCGTGAGTGAGTTGCAACCATAAATGGACAATCTCAGAGACCACTTTAGTGCCCTCTTAATGCGTAAGGGGGCACTAGACTAAACGGCCAAGTGGCTCAGGCAGAGAAGTTCCTCTCTAGCTTGAGTGATTCCACGAAGAAGGGTGTCCGACTTTCAGACCTCCGCAACATGGCTGCAAACGACTCAACTGGCAAGCGAGGCGCTCTCGTGACGGGGGTCTCTCGCAACGCCTCGTGATGAAGAAAAGAACCTACCGTTTCCCTGGGGACCACGCAGAGCGCCACCACGCTGCCGGCCACGACGTGGAGGAGGTCCTGCTTGCGCACGACGCCGTCGCAGTCGTGGATGGCCAGCGAACACCAGGGCACCCTGGGAAGGGACGCGGACGATCCCAGTTAGCGCCAGCTCTTCTTCGCGAGAAATGTTGTTCCTGCCTCGCTACAAGCTCTCGCACAAACCGCTTCGAAGGAGCAGATGCGCGGGCTAGTTCGTGACCAGCGTGGGTTGCAATTGACCAAATTTTAGAACACTGTCGAGCGCACAAAAATGTCCGTTCCATGGTTCCGGAGAATACCTTTAGACCTAACTTTAGAACCGAGCGCACGGGTGGGCAAAAAGAAAAGCAATTCGAGGGATCTGTTTTGCAGCAGCACTTTCTTGCAGGAAGCGAGTCAGTCCCAGTCTGGTTTCTCTCACCACTACGCGGGAGAAATTTATGCAGCACCACCGCTAGCTCGGGGTCTTTAACATGCATCACGCGGCAGTGTCGCACGACCGCACACCGGTATGACGCTCATCCAGACAGAAATCGTCGGGCACTGAACCCAGGGTTCCTGGGTTCTGCGTTGTTTCATCCCCCGTGCTCCGCTTTGTCTTAAGAGGGGGCGCACCTCAGAGCCCCATAGAGAATACATGAGGTTTTTCACCAAATTAAAAAAATTCTCACATAATAACGGCTGCGCGGATCTTCTTGAAAATTTCGGCTTTAAAGACATTGAGTCATTATCGAGACACTAAGCGCAACAATTGTTTCATCATACATTTAATTATATTCTTTAAAAATTCATGAAAATGGTCAAAATCGGCTAATTCGGCACTCTTGCGTTCGGAGCGAATTTACAAAATTATCTAAATTCAAACATGAAAAGTATTGCGCTTAATGTCGTCTAAATTTATTACGGAATCGAATAATATTCAAATTATTCATGTAAGTCGATTTGTTCCGTAACTACAGCAAATATAAAGAACCAAGGTGTCGGTGCTTGTTTTCGTCGTTTTTAAGGTACCTCTCTCTCCCGTGCGGTGGCGCTCGCTGTCCACGAAATGCGAAATCGTCCGTTCGGAGATCGGCCGGATCGGCACTGTGCGAGGTGTTCTTCCGCGGCCGTATTCCGCGCCCGTATCCTGTTTCATTCTGCACGCCGAGGCGTCAGTGTGCGTGTCTTGCTTTCCTGGTTCTCGCTGGGTAGGTCTCCGTGTTTTCGCAAGTGGCAAATTCACCTTGGAGCTATGGGTCGAAGACAACCGTCCTGTGTCAAGCGGACCGCGAGGTGTTCCACAACCTCGCGGTCCGTCAACGCGTTGTGCTTGTTTCTACTTTTTTTTTTTTTTTAAACGGGCTTTTTTTTTTTGACGCAAAGTTTTATTTTATTGTTATCCTTCACACAAATGTCCTTCGGCCTTGGGGTCGTGGAAATCGGGGATGAAGCGTGCACAGAGTAGATCGTTGTTTGCCTCCTTTTTATTTTTCACGGACGTCCTGTGACCTCCGTACGGTTCGTGGTCACCGCAATCTAACGCGGGGAAAAACGGGTCGCCTGCTCTGTAGTCGGCGTATTCCTAGGGGGGGTGATAACTCGCTGTTCTTCTGGAAATTCACATATCACCCAAAAAGGTGACATGGGTAATGATTACGGTATTTTTTTCCGGTGTTTATTTTTGAGCGAAAATCGGTGCATGTTTTTCGGTGCTTATTTTTTAATCACCAGTGTATTATGGGTTGAACGTCTCGTGATGACGCTAAAAAGCGTTGATAACCAAAGAAAAATGCGATTGGACTAGAATGTTTCAAATTTCCAATTCTATTCACATATCCATTACGCTCTTCTCGTGGGAGCATCTATCCTGACGAAAAATGCCTAAGTCATTGAGCTGTGAACGCATACTCAGTGTACAATCTTTCGGCCTACAGAGGTATTGCGCACGCTCGAACGCGCTTCACAGCCCAGTTGACAAAGTTGGTGGCACCCAGAAGGCGAGTTTTTGAATGGTCTGTAGTAGGCAAAAGAAACAAATAACAATCAACGCATATCAGCTCTTCAAGCGAAGAGGCGCGTTTCTAAGGTCAATGGTTCCGGACGGCACTAATGTTGTTGGCGTTGTCGTAAGATGACGTCGGTTCATACGAACTGACGTCATCTTACGTGATCACGTGACACAAACACGTCATCTTACATGATCTCGTTACACGAAATGACGTCATCTTACGTGATCACGCTGCACGAAATGACGCCATCTTACGTGACCACGTAACACGTCATCTTGTAAGTCAACCTCTCCCCACAGCAGCGCGCTCCGCGCTTTCCGGGCCCGTGCAGTGCTGTAGTCGAAAGCAAGCTCCCTATGGCAAGCGAAAGCTTCTGAAGTCTCACATTGAGAATACTCGCAAGCGACCGTCTGTGAAAGCTTCGCACGTTGAGGTTTTTGTTGAGATCGAGCCATCATGTTCCATTAACTATAGTTGAAGTTATCGTTCAATAAAGCCCTAAAAAATATGAATGTAGTTGGTGTAGACATCAAGATCTAATCAAAAATGCGGTTTGACGTCGTTTAATTAACGTGTATATACAAGTGTAGAAAAAAATTAGTTATTTGTGCATAGATGTTTAAAAACGTGTTTAGTATTCGACATAGGACTTTGGGAGAAGGATGTGTTCAGATTTTTCTTCACGAGCGCAAATATACCTGACGCAATAAATAGTGACGATTTCATCGTCCCAGTGGTGAGCAGGTGATTTCTTGCTCGAAATAATGATGCCATTTCATAAACCAAGTTCTGTGACATATGCTCTTCCAATGTCTGGTCACTATTTTGTAAACCTTTCAGTCCAAACGAGTATACTTCTGTTTGTTTTTGTTAGCTTAGGAGGGGGTCACAGAGCCTATCTTTTTGTCTTCCTCTAGGACAGACGTACAGAGTTATACCGCAACACGCATCTGTGGAGCACACAGAGCTATCGCTCTCCTGTTGGCGGTACAGTAGCAGACGACACAACGCAGCTCCGTAGTCTATCGAGGGCACGGCTAGCCGCGGCCCGTAGCGCGACCGTTCAGACTAGGGAAATGGTTTTGAAGAACCGAGAAATGGTATCTTGTGTACAATAATCACATGTCGTTAGTATACTAGTATTCTACTTGCTAAGCCAAATAAATATTTGTGAGAATATGTTTGCGTGACGATTTACTGTTCACACTCCTGACGGATGTTAGCGAATCCTTCATGTTCGTGGCTCGCAGTTATGGGTACACCCTCGGAGTGACTTCACCATATATATTTTTTTCTTGCTTGCAGGACATCATAAAAATCACTAACACGCGAGAAAAAAAAATCTTATGAGTACGCGTGATTTTGAGCTTCGCAGCTCTAAAGATGCCCGGTAAATGTCGTCCAGCTTGGGAAGAAACTAATCCTTTTTGTTGGAGTTTGACTATCGTATGCTGGCAGCTCGTTTCCGGTCTGTTTTGTCTGTACTCCGTTTCACCGTAATTTGGCAACCCTCAGTCAGAGCTGCTGTGAGGGAATCACAGTCGCGGAGCAAAGCAAGTGAGAGCTACTCTTAGGAGCAGTACTATGGCACCTGCAGCGCGTCTCCGACTGGTGTGTTTAGCGTCTTATGCTGGCCATACATCAAAAGTGGTCCCGAAGTGCAACAAATGACGTCACAGAAGACGGAGTGTCACGCTGTTGCATCTCGCGATCTTGGCAATTCATCGTAGAAATGCTGGCGAAAACCACGAGGGAACACGAGTGTCGCTGTCGTCATGGCGTCCCAACGAAAAGCAATTATACAATTTCGACGTTTCTGTAATTCGGTAATTTAAATCACCGTATACAATTTTTAAGAAAATAAAGACATCATAACCAAATAGGAACTTCCATGCTAAAACATGCAGTGCGAAGTGAAGACAACTACTATCTTTTTTTTTTTCTTGATGTCCACAAACAAAAGGCTATGCAGCATCGATCCTACCGTTTTTTTGTTGTTTTTTTTTCGCACATTATGTGATGTCCTCTAACATGAAAGTACCGACGTAAAAGCGCTGTAGAGACGATATAAAAACAAAAATTAAGTGAATCGAGCTTTGTAGTGGAACGAAAAAAATAAATAATTAACGACTTTTTACGGTAAACACTTCACCTCTAAGTACAACTTCAAAAAAGTGACGGTTACGCGCTTTCATGCCCATTTCAACAAAGTTGGGAGAACGATGTATTGCATCTTGTGAATAGACATGTGGAGCAGCATGTTTATGTTAGAGGCATTGTGTGTAATCGCTGCGCAGTACCTGCCAAAAGAAGATATTATTTGGGCACAGTCTCAACCGTTTCCGTCTGTGTGTGCTACGAATACAGCAACTCTTTTCGTAGAAGAAGTGATGAGGAAATGGCGTGTTGATGATACGATTGTGATTATGAAATAAAATTTTTAATCAGCCAATAATTGCGACCTGTCCGGTCGCCTGGAACCCCGACAACAACTATCGTTCTCTGGAAAGTTCATTCTAATATTTACACGTTTTGTGGAGTTCATCGAGCGAATAAGAATGTTCCAACAATGAGCTAAGCCTACACGAGTTCCGGAATCCAACACGGCGCTTTTGAATTTTAGCGCCGTAGATAGTTCCGCGAACAGTGTATACTTCTGTGCAAATATTCGTCTAACAGTTTTGCAACGTTGGAAAGCATCGGAATGATTCAGAATCACTGCGGAGTTGATACTCGGGAAGATAAGACGGGCGCTTGGGAGAAACGGACCGTGGCATTTGAGACAGGGGCACAACTGGGGGACAAACGTGCTACAATCGCATACCCTTCCAAGGTCATCGCTTGGGCGACCGCGCGCGCGCCCAAGAAACCTTTCTTTTTTTCTTTTTAGGGGTGGTGGGGGGGGGGGGGGGGGGGAGGAGGGAGGGGAGGGGCGTGGTGTAGGGTGTAGGCGCTGATTGTCTTCCTCCTTTGTGGCTTTTGACAGACGCACAACGAGACTGGCAGAACAAGCGCATGATTCATTTCTTTCGATGGAGGCGTTCTGTCTGTGTATGCGAACATGGTTTTTTTCCCCTTTTAGTAGTTAGTTGTTCTTGCCTTG